GACAGACTGGAGCCGCTCCGTCGTAATCCTAATTTTCAAGAAAGGCTCCCTCTTTAATGCGACAATCATAGAGGGATCAGCATGATCTCAATTGCCTCTAAACTGCTTTCGTCTGTCGTTCTCCGCAGACTGACTGGCGCTGGTGAAAGCCAACTCCGCGAAGAGCAAACCGGGTTTCGTCGACGCCGGGGCTTTATCGACCACATCTTCACTTTGCGTCAATTGTTGGAGCAGCGCCATGTTTATTGGCGACCATCCGTAGTCGTTTTTCTCGACATCAAAGGTGCCCTCGATTCGGTTGATCGATGTGCTTTTTGGGAGTGTCTGCTGAAAAAAGGTGTGCATCTTGGCTGTTCGTTTCCACTAACTTATCTACTCTCCGCGGTCACTCATTGAGGTTGCACAAACCGCGCTTTGATCGGGTTAGTACGGAAACTCATTTGTGCCCAGGTATTGAGCAGTAGAACTCGATTGCGGGTCACGTGCTCAGGGAACTTATGTTTAATGGTTTTTCGCATTAGCTCCATACTCCTGCGAGACAACACCAAACCTTTGCTTTCTCCTAACTGACTCATCTTATGCCTTCATTTTCTTTTCTTGCCAATTCCCCACCTATCTTGGCATTATGATTGTTTGCTTACGTTTTTTCTTGCCTACAACTTTTGCTGTTTCATTTTCTTACTTCACGTAACTGGACCGTCAGGTATTGCTGGGCAGTATATATGAGCGGTAATTGGTTTGTTAGGGTATGATGTGGTCTTTGCTTTAGCTCCATCCGAATTTCAAAGCACTTCGTCTATTGGGGCGTTTCGGTATTGCTCTCTCTCATCACCCAACTCGTTCGATGCCCCGCTGAAGGGGGAACACTTGCGGAATAATCATATCTTTCCAATCGCACTTGAGCTTGTTCATCGTAATTTAATATTAGCACATTGCAAACAGGATGCTTTTCATCATACGAAGATCATTCTCCAAAATAACGCTTGAGACCTTCAGTCTTTTTTTCCCCACACACATCCAATACTAGAATATGGATTACCTGCTATACACCCTCTCACTAAGTTCGAGTGTTCTCTAATCGAGAAGATTCGGAAGCGTTATTCAAATGATGTGTTGGTGCTACGTGATTCATCGTATCCGCTTCGACTTCTGCGTATAAGTCTGTTCCCTTTAGACTACCATTGTCACCATAAGGATCTGCTTTGCGCTAGGCACATTATAAGAGGGACAATCCGGGAAGGGGCTGCAACTGTTATTCAAGCTCAATTTAGCTAGCACTCCTGCTTGGGGACCAAATTACGAAGAGTGCTGACGGCTCGAAATAATTCAGGACATGACGCACAATCGAAGCCAGTGAAGATCTGTGCACCTAATTGTTTAGATTCCGATAGTTACCGCCTATCAATTAAAAAGAGAAAAAATACCAAATAGCTTGTGTAAAAAACAAGTTTTTTTTGCCCCTCTATAACTGAACTGTGCTGTCTACTTTCAGCTAATGTATCGTGATGATGATGCTGTGGCGATTCTACCTGTCAGCCTCCGTTGATTTCTATGGTATTGGTTGGCTTCATTTTTATTCTTTAGACTGTTACTAACATATGCATACTGTGAGGCACATGCGAGGCGAATTTCAGTCACTCAAAAAACCTTCGGCTTAGCCTTACGGCTTTATTATTGCCCATTTACGGTTTTGGAATTGACTTCCTACCTAACCATTCCTATTCTTTCCCTTTTTGTAATTGTTTCGTGTGTTGTGGCGTTTTGCCAATTGTAAATTGGTTGTGTTGAATAATAAGATTTATTAGGGGGCATGCATTCCTGGTGTATGTTAAGGAAGCGCTGGGAAATAATTTTCTGAATGATCGAAATTCGTTCCAAATGCGTTAAACTGGGACGGCCAGGGACGGTCATCCAGGGCGCTTCAACGGTCATTCCAGCGGACATTTTTCAGTCATTCATCTTGTGCGGATCAACACGGGATCACAGTTAGATGCTTTTAACCGAGGACGCTATGCGTCTGTTCCGATCACGTTATCCACCCTGATCGTGAATTTAACAATCTCACGGCATTTGTTGTCAGTGCCCAGACATACGAATGCTTAAAACAGCGGTTGCATAACCGCTTGCCGGGCACGCCAAGATTCCGCGGTTTTTGTTGCAACCATAGTAATTACTTAGGAACACAGTTTAGGAATGACACGCATCATCCAGCTAAAAGCAGGGGGTGATAGGGCTTACACGGCTTTTCCTTCTGTTTTCTGCAGCTCTATGAATAACGTATTAATGACAAAATGTGCGATGAATTAACTTGCAAAGCAATACTAAGACGTAGTTAATACTATTCTGCCATCTGTTAGATATGAGGCCTGTGGGATAGTTTGGCCAAATAAATAGTAAAATTGTGGATTTTTTCGAAATATCAAGTGCAGGGACATTACACAGCATATTCATATTTTCGTAAGGAGCCTTGCAAGTGGTTTATACCCGAAGCGTGCCCTTCTCACTTCGGCATATGCCATAATCATGGAAGTAATTGGCTCATTAGTTAGTAGAGCAGAAGAAAGTTCCTTTGTCGACTCCATCACTTTGCGGTCTTTGCGACCATTTAAGCGAGTTATACCGCAAGACAATAGTTGAGGGGCTTGACACCTATGTATGGCATGCAGACTGGTGAGATATTAGTGCCACCCCTCTTTGGGAGAGATTCGACGCCGGCTTGCTCTGTTAAAATTAAACAAGTTTGCTAAACCTGACAACCTTTCACCGTTTTCCGAAAAAATGGGGGCGTCTCATTGATATTCGGTTTTGAAACACTGAACTAGTGTCTACAGACTGGTAGTTGTTAACCATCATCCCGATCTTCAATAACCTTGCGGCACTGGAGGGGTTTCTGGGAGCACGCAATACCGAAACGCTTTCACTTCGGATTACGTTTTAGTGATTGGAGTTATACTTCAAAGTGAACCGAAGTCACAATGGAGTTTGTGCGCCACAATCCGATCACGCGTTTAGTACTTCAGAGTTACGGGACCTTACGCGAGAATCATCGAGGCATTGACTTCGTTTTCATTATCTCCAAACTCCTCACAACAATCATTCTTTGGCAACCGGCAGGGTTAATGGAGGCCAGGTTGGCTTTCGATCCGGTTGAGGATTCATTTTTCGCTGGATCAATAATACGTATATTGAGTTGAATGCTTTCTACGTTTGAATCGGCTGTACCAGTTTTTGATACTAATAGCCATTGAAAGGCGTGTCGGGGGAACTGCCTTATTTTCTAAGGTCTCCCTTCCACAACTTCTGCAGTCGTGTAAGTCTATACAAAATGCTGTCTCCCAAATTCCCCACTATGCACAGTTACCCTGCTTCCTTTCCTGTTTGAAATGCTCATATTCGATCATATCATCTTTCTCGTCTCAGAGCTTGAAAATATGGACTAATTCGCCCTCTGAGTCATATCTAACCTAACCTTATGGGCTCTTGTGCAGAACAATGCACACATCTGAATTTCGCTCTTCCATTCAAATTAAAGGCGCTGTTACTAGAACGGACCTACAATTGGTCGTCCTGGCTATCACAGACCAACCACAACTTTATTGGTCACTACTTTGATGTTCAATTTACTGGAGAATTTGCTTCATGTAAAAGCTAGACTCATATGGTTTGTGAAGGTCTCGGCGTTTGTGGAGACTACTAGATATTAGTTTTGTGACCTTGAGATTTATAATACCAGCTTGCAAATAGCCGGTAGTTTAAGACATCGGGCTTGCACTCCACAGTTCATTGGTTCGAACCGCTTTACATAACCCCTACCTAACAGCGTCTCCAGTTTGCCCTCGACAGCAGGTGGCTGCATTGCAGCGGACAATCGGCTCCGCTACCATGTAAATAAATGTATCCAACCAGACGTGTTCATCGTCTTACGGACCCGAACTAGGGAGCCGAGACGCTCCAACCGAGGCCAACTTCGAAGTATGGGCTTTCATTCCTCTCGACGAAGTCATTGCTTGACCACCTCTCCTCTTCTTTCATTCAGGCCCTCGGTGCACAAACAACGCACGTTGCGGGAGCCGGTGAGCTGGCACTCGTAACACTTGGCCGAGTCATCGAACCCTGCTGCGTCAAATAACGGTGCTGGGTGGTTCATTTCCTTTTCCTGTGCCGTAAACAAGGCTTCGAACACCATCGTCGCTCACGTGGGGTTCCCACCAGATGCGAGCCAAATTGCAAGGCACCGGTGGTCGAACGTAACTAGCCCCTTTATGTCGGCATTGTAGAGTGTGTTTGAACTAGCCATATCTTTTCACTGCAAAACAGCACCCATTAGTTTACGAATCTGTTCCATCGGTACCGGATATTTACAAAGACTGACACGCCAACACAATCAGTACTTGTAATTCAGTACCGGTGGAGAACGAACTACGTTCGTAGTTTATCTGGTTGTTCTCTTGAAACCAGCCGAGCTAGTAGCCTGGCCAAGCGATCTTCAGTGTACGTGGCTATTGATCACCACCGAATTGTGCGAGCTTTTCCAACCAGTAACTGTACTTAGTAATTGAATTACAGCCAAATTCACAACCAATGAAACGGCAGAATTTTACTATGGGTTGGCTTTACTCAACTAATCACCCTGGCTTTATTATTATTGTTTGCATTCATTACATAAGTGATATGTTCTAGAATTCCTCTACTGTCTCAGTCTACCCGGACTTCCTCAGCCATCTGTTTTCCCTATTTCTCCTGGGTCATTGGGGAGGGGGTTGCATCACGCCATGTTGACTTGCACCGCAACTGGACCATTGTAGTATATAGATTATTTGTCATCTTCCTCAGTGTTGTTTTCTGTTCTCTTCTCACTGCTTTACGTCGAGTCGGCTCTCACTTGTTACCCATGTTTCCATCCGTCGAACATTTAGCCCTTTTCATAATCCGTGGATTTTGTGCCTATATTGCGAGTTGCTATCACACTTTTTCATTTCTCCATCTTTTGCTTTTTTACAGTTTGTCCACTGTGTGCTAGTCTATCGTATTTTGTTGACTTTGCCATGAGTGGCCAATCTGTCCAGCTAGCTGAGTTGGAGCGGAAGGCTCGTTCTGATGCAGTGAAACGCATTGCGGAGTTGTTTCAAGTACGCTCTTGTTCCTTCCATTGATGACTCGTCAGAAACCTGAGCAACTTGAGAAAATCGAATTGGTTCGATCTCGTTTCGTCAATCAGAAGGTAAGTGCATTTGCACTCTTGCTGACCCCTTTGTCGTGCAGCTGGCAACAGAGGCCCAATTGAAAATGGCTCTGCACAGTCAACTCGACGGCAGTAAAATCGGACTGGATAAATTAGATGCAGCTTACACTGAAGCTCAAACTTGCAAGAGACAGTTGTTTCACACCGTTTATTGTTCTCTATCCTCTCAGTTTGTTCGAGTTGACTGCCGCTTTGCAAACCATAGACGGTTTGCCGTCAAGCTTACTGGAGCTAAAGAATATTTCAAAGAAATACAGCCAAGTAGTTTGCTTTTGTTTGGTCCTTGCAATGTTCCTACTACACTAGTTAGCTGCAGCTATGGAGAATATGTCTTATCTTGTGAAAGCTCCTGAAGCCATGGATCAGGCACGGACTTATATTGAAACGGATAATCTTCTTGATATGCACAAAATGTGAGGTCCTTTTGAACCTTCATACTATTTTCCAGTCTTCAGGAATTGGAAGGTATTCGGGATGAGCTAATGTCCGAAGTGTATCGAGAACACTCAAAAGCAGATCTTGAGGTATGCGTCAAGTTACTTCGTCCTAAGGCGCCGAAAGACTCTGCGAGCTTATTTCAAAGGGTTGGACGAATTGAATAGTCTATTTCGGAGTCAGATCACATTAATCGGATCCAGGATCACGAGTGCTGTTGTTACTCAGCACCGATTTGTCGTCGATTGTGTTCGAGTTATTGACCGCGAAGAACGGTGAGCGTTGCTTCATCATTGAGCTTCCTTTTTGCACTGACATGTTTTTCTACTAAGTGGCACTGTGGTCCTCCTGTTTTACCAAAGACAAGCTGTTCATTTTGTTATTTTGACGTATCTTTGTGCCTGCTGGATGCTAATAGGCCATCAAATTGCCACAACTTGTAGGGACACTGCTGCCATTCACCACTATAGCGATCGATGTGGATTGCTTATTCATTGATCTGCGTTTACCTAATGGGTAGCGTACTACATGGGTCAGTGCGTTTATTTTCACTTTTTGACCAACATCTGAAGTGTGGAAGGTATACCTGGTGGCCTCTGTCAGGCACATACTGTACTTATCAGCGCATTGCAGATTATGCAATTCTATCTCCGCCCTATTTCGGGAGCTCGAAAGGGATTGTGAACATGTATCTTCGGCTCATTGATATCATCTTATTTCACTGCTAATTTTTCACCTGTCTGGAAGTGTTACATTTCGATTTTACCACCTACCACCCTGTTTGTGATGAATTCCGCGTGTGATTAGATGACTATAGAAACTACATCAGTTTGTTCCCATTTTCCTCTCAGCGATTAGTCACCTAAGCAAGTTCTAAAGATAATATCCACTCTTTAAGTATTTTGAACTTCCCCACATCCATTAGCTGCCAAGGTGTACCGTACTTTTCCTGGTACATCTAAGTGTGTTAACTTTTTACTCTTGAACTCCATTCTTTTCACTGCTAGTGCTGATGCCATTTGGGAGAAACGATGTGAGAAGAATCAGTTCAAACCAGATGGAAGGCCCAAACGTTGGAAGCAGTTGCTATTCGATTCGATCGCACAGGCCATACGAGACAAGTCGGTGTCACCTCTTGATTTTCCGTTTGTTATGCTAAATAATGTTTAAAATCTTCCAATCGTATCCGTAGGCTGTCTCCTGACATCTGTCCGAGTCTCCTCTTTGACCATCTGTTGGTGTGAACCCCTTTTAGCAAACTCACTCGTTATGATGCTGTCTTGCCAAGTAAAGCCAAATATTTTTCTCACAAAATCCTTTTAGTTCCTATTTCAATGTTCGTTATCAGAGTTCTTCACCCCACTTCGTGTGACATTAGTCTTATTTCCACTGCCCCCAAACTTCTCACAGGTCTCATTCTTCTATGAGTTATTGGTCTTTGTAAGAGCGGAGTCATTGCGAACCAGGTCAGCTTACGCTCTTCACTCTGATCTTCGTGTCATCTTGTGGCAGTGTCTATCCATGAAGAAAATGCTTGGAAAACTCCTTTACATTCCGAATTCTTTCTGCCGTGAATCCCGAGGTCTGTGGGTAGCTGTCTCCTGAGTTCCACACGACATGAATGACTCGATTCTTTCAGGCTCTACCGAAGTGGAAATTCTGCAGGTGACGGTCCGACAAACCTTGAGTATGCGGACAGCATAGCTCTCATTGGGTCTGACGCAGCGGATAGACAAGTACTACTGTATAGACTAACACGTATCGATGCGCGCCTCGGTATGGGCTCTGTATTTTCAAAGTTCAAGGTGTTGCTGCAGAACCACCGATTTGCCTGGTTTTAGCCATCAGCGAACATTTACTGGAAGTGATGCGTCAGTGCACTTTCCCTTGTTAGCCGTGCCACTTCTGGTAGTCATATCGCTGTGTAGGTTACTTCGCGTTTGAGGAAAGTCCGTGTGGCATTTCAAAGGCTCAGCCATCTATGGAGACGGCGGGATATCGTGCTGCCAGTGAAAGGTAGGTTGTCTAACGCTGCGATATGGTGGGTGTTACTGTGTGGATCAAAGACGTGGCCAGTTTTTAGTGAAGACATTGAACGCTCGGCCGTGTTTGGTCACTGGTGCTTGCGAAGTATCGTTCCCCTCTGGTTGGAACACCGGACGTGCAATGCTGAGCTCCGCCAGTTGGTTTTTTGCATAAAGCCATCTGATACCTCACTGAAATGTTTATTGAATCCACTTAAGTTGGCTAGACCATGTTCTTCGTATGTCCGTTGACCGCTTTTGTACCGTACGTTAAATACTGCCTCTGCACCAAGTTGGGCGAAACCACCCGAGATGGCCAGTCGATGGCGTCAGACTGATGCATGGATGGGGGCCTCCGGATGGTCCACGCCAATGTTTGGGGACTCAGATATAGCTTAGTCGCACAGTCAGTGACGTTCTTGCATTTGCTTTCTTATATCTAGCTGTTACTTTTCATCCCATCCAGGTTAGTTTGCTTCCATCCATCGCAATGAGGCTGGACCTTACCGTGGTGCGATGGTTTGTGTGCCTCTGTGATCCATTGAGCTATACTGGGTGGTGCTTTTGCACCTTCAGAGCCACTCATACCAGATTGGTCAATGGTTAGAGGCCAGACAAACTCAGCCTCCTGGTCCTCCAGGTTGGGAGTTGGAATGAGGGTGGCTCCTTATTCCTTAAAAAGGACTCCTTGTAGTCCAGTTCCAAACCCGCTGCCTTGCGGACAGGTTTTTGAACCAAAGGCTTTGGTTGAGAACCCTAATCGTTCTCCTGTCTATGCCTGGGCAACCTGACAGTATCCTGCCCACGCAATACAATGAATCTCACGTCAAACCTATTTCTGATGCTTTGGCCACCGCAGAGGATAATCAACGGTGCCCTATCTGCTGCATCGAGCAGGGTGGATAGGGGTTTGGATGCTACTGCTCAAGCCTTCCCATCTTCTTACTCCCCTTCTTGCGCTTTTTCACCGTTATCGTCCCGTTCCAGCTTTACTTTTATCCCCCCTGTTTTCAACCCCCCAATTCTCGGCCCTCCCCCACCTTGCTTCAATAGTCGCTTGTCTTTTAGTTTCAACTCACAGGTGAACGCAGAGCGTCATTCCTGCACTGTCAACAGGCCCATGTCCAAGCAAACGGCCCATTTCAGTTCATCGGCTTCCATTTGGAGCCCTCGATCCTCCTTCAGACTGGCATGCCTCAATGTTCGCACATTGCTTCAGATCGGTCAACAGGCAGCACTTGCCCGAACATTGGAGACCCTATCGATCAATATCTGCTGCTTATCGGAGACCCGCCTGCAAGACTCGAGCTCTGTACTCACTCTGCGAACCCCTTCAGGTGACACTAGCAGCACTTTCTCATTGCGCCTATCCGGTGACGATGCAGCTTCGAGCACCGGCAAAGCCGGTGTTGGTATTGCTCTGAGTCCCCGGGCTGAAGCTGCTCTGGTTGATTGGGTTCCAATCAGTAGCCGGATGTGTGCGCTCCGATTGGCTGGCTCGTTCAAAACTTCGAAGTCGCGTGGGACTAACAGGTGTCTATTCGTTATCGCTGCCTATGCACCGACAAACTGTAGCGATGACTCGGTAAAAGACGACTTCTATCGCCAACTGAACGAACTGCTTCGCCACAGAAGAAGCTCGGACACTGTAGTGCTGGCTGGGGATCTGAACGCTCAAGTTGGAAAATTATCCACAGATGAGCTGCATCTGGGCGGCCAACATGGTATAGGCTCCCGTAATGATAACGGTGAGCGTTTACTTCATTTGTGTGAGGATGCTCGCTTATTCCTTGCGAGCACTAATTTCCGACACAGCACCCGCCGGAGGGTGACTTGGCGCCCACCAGCATCGAACCAGCTATGGACGCAAATCGATCACATTGCTATCAGTTACCGCTGGAGAGGCTGCGTCCAGAACTGTCGCTCGATTTGGAGCACAGGTGTTGACACCGATCATGCACTTGTATGTGCTGACCTGCGGATGCGCTTTGGCGGACGCCCGCGACGATGTTGTGAGCGCATTGACACCGACAGACTGGTGAATCTAGCTGTTCTGAACGCCTATCAAATTACGTTGTCATCCGAGTTGGATAAACGCTCACTGGATGCAATTGAAGCTCACTGGTCTCATATGCAACAGGCCTTACTAGCAGCAGGCAAATCCTCATGTGGTATGTCTAATCGCCAACATGAACATTGGGTCTCTTCACAGTCTTTGGAACTTATAGATGCTCGCCGGCATATTCCGGCTGGAAGCGAACACAATGAAACTCGCAAAGAGCTCTGGGCAAAACTCCGTGCTAGCCTGAAGAGAGACCGCGTATCCTGGTGGTCTCGTCGTGCAACAGAGATGGAAATGGCCGCTGCCCTTGGTAGACATCGTGAGTTATTCCGTCTGGTACGGGAAACGGGCGCAGGAAACATGGTGTTAGTGAAACGATTTGTGACGATAGTGGACAGCCTATCCACAACGCCTATCCAAAACGCCTGGAACGTTAGGCTGAGTACTTTGAAAGGCAATTTAATCGGTCGGAGTTGTTAGATTTTTCGCCGACCAGTGATCGCCCTGCTCCGTGGGCTGTTCCTTTGGATCCACCCTCTCGCTCAGAAGTCGAACATGAGATCAAACTGTTGAAGTTAGATAAAGCCGCGGGACCTGATGACCTTCCTCCAGTCCTCTTTAAATTCGGGGACCTGCTCTTGTGGATGATTTACACGAGTTACTAGTGAGACTGTGGGAGCAGGAAACTGTCCCAACCGATTGGAGCCGCTCCATCATACTCCCAATTTTCAAAGGAGACTCACGATCGGAATGCGGCAGCCATAGAGGAATCAGTCTGATCTCCATCGCCTCTAAATTGCTTGCCTCTGTCATCCTTCACAGACTGACTGGCACTCGTGAAAGCCAGATTCGTGAAGAGCAAGCTGGATTTCGTCGAGGTCGTGGCTGCATTGACCACATCTTCACTTTGCGTCAGTTGTTGGAGCACCGTCACATATATTGGCGGCCCACCGTTGTCGTGTTCCTCGATATCAAAGGTGCATTCGATTCGGTGGATAGGCATGCGTTTTGGGACTGTCTACTCAGGAAAGGTGTACCTGAGAAATAGGTAAATATTATCCGAGCATTATATGCGCGTAGCTCGGGCAGAGTGAGGGCTTACGGCAAGTTGTCGTCGCCCTTTAATATCTCCAGCGGCGTGAGACAAGGATGCCCGCTGTCACCTTTCCTCTTCAACTTCGCTGTTGACGAAGTCATGGAAATCGCGTTTACAGGACACGACTTAGAAGGTGTGGTGCTGCTCCCAGGAGAACGACTTCTTGATTTAGAATATGCTGATGATATTGCCCTAATCTGTGACAGCTCACAAATGTGCCAAGCGGCACTGGACAGATTAGCACTAGCTGTCCGTCACTTCGGGCTTTGCTTCGCTCCCTCGAAGTGCAAAGCGTTTCTCCAAGATTGGTCTGGACCGCGTCCTACGCTGACCGTTGGTGGGGATCAGCTAGAAGTCGTTCAAAAATTCAACTACCTGGGAAGTTGTATCAGCGCCTGTGGGATTGAAGATGAAATCACGAATCGTATAGCAAAAGCTCGGGGCGCTTTTGCTAACCTTCGTCACTTATGGCGCCGGCGCGACATCACTCTTGCCCTGAATGGTAGAGTGTACAATGCAGCAGTACGTTCGACCCTACTGTACGGTTGCGAAACCTGGCCGCTTAAAGCAGCGGACCTGAAGAGGCTAGTTACGTTCGACCACCGGTGCCTTCGTAATTTAGCTCACATTTGGTGAGAACACCGCGTGAGCAACGAGCGTGTTCGACGCCTTGTTTATGGCACAGGAAAAGGAAATGAACCGCTCAGCACCGTTATTTCACGCATCAGGCTCCGATGGCTCGGCCACGTGTTACGCATGCCAGCCCACCGACTTCCGCGACGTGCGTTGTTTGCGCGCCGGGGGTGTGGATGGAAGAAGAGGAGGGGTGGCCAAGCGATGACTTGGTCCAAAGGAATGAAGGCCCTCACTTCTGAGCTGTCCTCGGTTGGAGCGTCTCGGCTCCCTGGTTGGGGTCCGAAAGACGATGAACTCGTTTGGTTGGACACAGTTGCTGATATGGCTAGGAGCCGACCTCAGTGGCGTTTGTGCTGTGAGTTTCTTTGTCCCACCCCATCCCTCTTAGCCTCCCCCTCCAACCACGATCTCATTACTTAGCCTTATATAATTTTGCATAATAATTTTTTTTGGGTGCACAGCAGCCGGCTGGTAGCTTACCGGAACGATGCCCATCCGTTACCGGTAGCTCAGCCAGCTTTCACCAGTTGTTTTTTTTCTTTGTATTGCGGCACAGTAGCTGAGGTGTTCCCCACCTCTAGCTAACGTGTATGATTTTTTTATAGTTTGCTTCCATTTTCTTTTTTATTTGCGTTTAGTCTCATTTTCTTACCATTGTTATTTGTCGTTATTCCGTCGACGTGAGTTGTGACGACTGGATCCACCACGTTTTGTTCAACTGGACTTA